TTGAAAAATTTCAAACCCACAGAAAAATTGCAAAGATTGAAAAATAATGAATATATTCTCTTCCCCTTGATTCGCCAATTGTTAACATTTTATCACAATTCTTACATTCTGTTTTTCTCTCTCTGCCTCTGTGTATGTGTGTATGTGTATTTGCACCATTGCAAGGGTGACTACAAATTTTAAAAACTCACATTTTATTTAAAATGTAGACTATTTTGCAGCTAAAATCTTTAGGAAATAGTATCTAGTTGATGTCCTGGACAGCTTTTCCTACAGAGCTGCCCTTTGGTTCTGTGTAGTCTCATTGAGCACAAATATTTGCAGTTTGTGGGCTTCCCAGCTGACATAGTGGTAAAGAATCCATCTGCAGTGCAGGAGATGCAGGAGACATGGGTTTGATCCTTGACTTGGGAAGACCCCCTGGAGTAGAAATAGCAACCCACTCCAGTATTCTTGCCTGGAAATTTCCATGGATAGAGGAACCTGGTGGGCTAAAGTCCCCAGGGTCACCAAGTTGGACACAACTGAGCTACTGAGTGTGTGTACATGCATGCACACACCCACACACACATATTCACAGTATATAGCCAAGGTCATCTAGAACATAGTACTTCTAGAACATAATATTTCTGTTTTAGGAATGAGTTTTCATAATTTCATTATATATTTGAACTATCAACCAAAAGTTAGAGCAGTTTTCTCCAAAATGTCCAATGCTATCAACTGAACAGTAAGTTCTTAGGTAAAAGGAATCCAACTCAAATCTAAAAGACTTGGAAAATGCTATGATAATAATCTCTATGTCATATATTGCCACAGTGTTCTGGGATTTACCTCCATTTGGTTCCCTAGTATTGCATAGTCATTGACAAGGCAGTAAAATAGTCCAGGTTCAAATACTGACTGTACTACTTACTATGGGGGGCTTCTCTGGCAGCTCAGTGGTAAAAGAATCCGCCTACCAACGCAGGAGCTGCAGGTTCAATCCTTGGGTTGGGAAGATCCCCTGGAGAAGGAATGGCAACCCATTCCAGTATTCTTACCTGGGAAATCCCATGGTCAAGAGGAGTGTGACCAGCTGCAGTCCATAGGGTCTAAAGAGTCAGACACGAATTAACAACTAAGAAACAACAAGTTATGAAACCTCTCTGTGGTTGTTCCTTCATCTGCAAACTGGAGATGATAACAGAATACATGAAAAAAAAAAAATAGTGACGATGAAGTGATGTAACTCTTGGCACACAATAAGCTTTCATATTATCATTAACAGTTTTCATTCCTGTTCACCACAAGCAGATCTTGTGTGATCTTTGTAACTTCCATCTGGTCTTCATGACTCCAGCTTCTTCCCATTCTAGCCCATCCTACCTGCCCCTCCACTTGGCCCTTGGGTGACAGGGTCAAAATACCAGCTTCTTATTATGTGAAACTGGCTTGGACTCAAGGCCAAAAATGTGTTTTAGTCTTCTTTTCTCCCAAGTTAAACTTAATTTGACCCCTGCAGACTTCACCAAAAGGGCCTGAGCATGCTCCAGCCTGCACACCTCTGTAAGCACTAACATGATCACAGTACTTCGCTGCTCAGAGACCCTCTGTCATTCCCATTCCACACCAAGTAAGACCAGAGTCCTCAGTAATCATCGCTGCCACTAACTGAACTTCTTAGTTATGTGCCAGATAATATATTTTCTGCTTTATTATTTCATTTTGTGTATTTAATTCTCAAACCACTCCTCTGAGTAAAGGGTTATTATCCATCTGCAATTTACAAATAAGAAACAGGCTCAGCACCATGAAGCAGCTTCTTGGTCAGCATAGCACTGTTGGGAAGCATTCATTTTGGGCACTGAGTCTGGGCTGACGCCTGCAAAGCCTGTCCTTTCAAAGTGAAGCTGCATCACCTTTTCAGCCTGTGTGTGAGCTCTGGTTATCCAGGTCAGGAGACCTGTCTTCCCTCTGCTCTCTCCTCTGATTTACCCCCAGACATCTGTGCTTTTATCACTCACTGAACATGCTGTGTCCTTTGAAATCTTTGTCTGTTTTTTTCCTTGCTGTTCTCTTTATCTGGGTTATGTTTCCCCCCTTTTCCATTCATGTACCTTCCGTTTGTCCTTTGTGATCCTGTTCAGAGGCCACGTCCTCTGGGAAGCCTTCCCTGATTCTACCCACTTTTCTTCCCAAAAAGTTGTTCCAATTTATGTTAGTAATTTGTAGAATAGTCTTTTGTGACGTCTTTCTGTTTCCTTGTATTATCAGTTCTTTTAAGGACCAGATCATACAGTTTTTCGTCCCTGAACATCAGGCACTTTGATGATGCTGATAATAAAATAATGATGATTATTTGGATAATGGTTATTGTTCATTAAATCCCTCCTTTGTGTCACATACAGTGCTAGGTGCTTCATGTGCATTGTCTTGGTTTCACAGACTCCAAGAGACACACTTTCAGGATCTTTGTCTACTTAACTGTAAAGTGGGAATGAGAACAGTCTTAATTTTTTATTGAGAGTTGTTAGGAAAGGATGGAGCCAGGATTCACAGGTCTGTCAGATTCCAAAATGATACTCTTTTCTACCACACAGTGCTGTCTGCTTTGCACATAGTAGATAGTCAGGAAATACTGGTGGCATTCTTTTGCACCCCCAGCTTTGCCATTTTGGTACCTGTTAAGAAGGACACTCAAAGGCAAAACTAACAAATATCTTTGTAAATGGAGGACATGCTTAAGCCAGTTTGTCCATTGCATTTGGTAATATATTTTGGTCTGATATACAAATAACCAACTTTGTTTTTTAGCTTAAATTGCCATAAAATTGTATTGGCAAGTATATTATGGAATGCACACTGAGAGAAATATTCAGTGGTATGATAGAATTTCATTCTTCTCAAAAGTTTTAAAAAAATTTCCTGTGGTCTTGTTAGTTCATGGAATTTGGAGCTTGATATAGATGATTTGTTCCTGGAAGCCTCATAAGGATTTGGTTATAAAAACATCTATATAACTCAGTGCTTTTCCATGGATCTCTAGGGCCCTGTGGGAGTGAGGCTTCTGTGTGAGCGACCTCTCAAGAGTCATCAATAGTAATTCACTGACATCATCATCAAATAAGTTGTTTTCCTGAGATGGTCCATTTCGGGATTATAAACAAAGAGCTTCTAGTACTGGATAGAAAGTTTTTCACATGTCCCCACCTTCTCTGAATCCTTTTAGACTTCCTAGTTTTTTAATAACCATACATTTGTATTTTATCTTTAGGGTAGTATAAAATCTGATGCTCTAACCCCTTACTGGGGCTTCCCTCATAGCTCAGTCAGTCAAGAATCTGCCTGAAATGCAGGAGACCTGGGTTTTATTCCTGGGTCAGGAAGATCCCCTGGAGAAGGAAATGGCAACCCACTCTAGTATTCTTGCCGGGAGAATCCCATAGACAGAGGAACCTAGCAGACTACAGTCTATGGGGTCACAAGAGTTGGACATGATTTAGTGACTAAACCACCACTAACCCCTTACTGAAACACAGAAAAATAGTAGAAAAGAACATGGACTTTGGAGTCATACTGCACTAGTATAGATGTTTGTGGGTATATGCTGTCACTTCCATAAAGCCTACTTCCTTATCTATAAAAATGAAATTTACATGTATAACATGAGGGCTATAGTTAACAATATAATGTATATTTGAAAGTTACTAAGAGAGTCAATCTTAAAAGTTGCCATCTTAAGGAAAAAAATTATATCAAGTTATGGATGTTAACTGAGCTTATTGTAATTATTTTGCATATATATTGTGTATATATTGTATATATACAATACAATACTCATATATACACATGAAATTGCATACTACACCTTAAACTAATACAATGTTATATATATATATATATAGTAATGTTATATATCCATGTCAATTATATCAATAAAACTGGAAAATTTTAAATAAAATAGTATTTATAATATTTACTTTGCATAGTTACTGTCAACTAGTAATAGTTAATGTAAAATTACTGAATGATACTCAGCACTTTCAGTATCATTAGTAGAAATAGGTCATACTTCTTTTTGTTTCCTTTGAATGCAAGGTTTTAACTAGTTGGTGGGATAAACCATCCATGAAAATTGTATTACAAGAGTTATTTTGTTTTCCAAGGCTAAAATAATGATATTTCAATCAAAAAAAAATTTTTTTCTGAATGCTTTAAGTGGTTATCCAAGACTCTGGCTAGCACCCTTCCATGTGAACTATATTAGTTGAGACAGTTGTCGCTCTAAAGCAGTGCTCTAATGACAGCTGTTTGGGGAATCCTTAATTTCCTCCATTGAATTAGTTGTCAATTCACTTCAACAAAAAGAATGTCTTTTAAGCCTTGGATACTGGATGAGCACTGGGCGTACTTCTACACAGAATTTTACAATAAGCTGTACATCTTAATGGCTTCCCTGATAACTTACTTGGTAAAGATTCCGCCTGCAATGCACGAGACCCCAGATCAATTCCTGGGTTGGGAAGATCCGCTAGAGAAGGGATAGGCTACCCACTCCAGTATTCTTGGGCTTCCCTTGTGGCTCAGCTGGTAAAGAATCCACCTGCAATGTGGGAGACATGGGTTTGATCCCTGGGTTGGGAAGAAGGGAAAGGCTACCCACTTCAGTATTCTAACCTGGAGAACTCCATGGACTGTATAGGCCATGGGGTCACAAAGAGTCAGACACAATTGAGCTTTGCTTAAGAAATGAAGTGTCTAAGAACATATTGATTATTTTTTCTCTGATCTGTGTGACTCATTTTAATATCATACTGTTTAAAAGTTGCATGCATTTTACATCGTTTTAAAATACCTAATATGGTTTGCTTTAAGCCATTTCAAACCTACATTTTTCCTCTCAGTAGGAAAAAAAATAAAGAAACTCAGCAACGTGTCTAGATCTGTCACCACGTTTGGTTACTGGAATTAGAAACCACTGAGTTTTTTTCTTTTCCAATGTAACCCTTGTTTTGCAGAGAAGAGCTGGTGTCCTCCGAGGACCTGCTGGAGTGGCTGCGGCCTTTCTGTGCCAACGACGCCTGGCCCGTGCGGCCCCGCATTCATGTGCTGCAGATTCTGGGACAGTCATTTCACCTGACTGAGGAGGATGGCAAGCTCCTCGTGTTCTTTAGAACGGAGGCCATCCTCAAAGCCACCTGGCCCCAGAGACAGGTGAGGGTGCATCTGATGGTCATGTCCTGATTCCTTTAAACCACCTTCAAGTGAATAATCAGCTTGTTAATGCATTCTTCCCATTGTGTTCATCAGTACAGTTATGTAGCAGTTAAATATGTGCAACCCGGTGTGTTTTTGCTTTTCCATATATTTGAATATACAGAGTAGATGATGCCTCAGTCACCTGACATGTATATATAATTTTTCTCTTCATAGGATACAGTCAGGGTTTTTCATAATATCAATTAATTAGGGCAGCTTGCCCTTTCCCTGGAGAGATGCAGATCTAAGAGGTAATGCAGTGTGCAGTTTAGCTCATTCATTTTGTCCTGCTCTGCCCAGGCACTCAAATGCCCTGTCTTCTATATGTAGACAGACACAATGTAGCAGAGACGTAAGATCTTGGTTTCTTCCTTTTATCCTGCAAGGCTCACTCAGTCCATCACCTCCCTGGATCCTTCCCTGACGGTTTCAAACTTAATTGAACTTTGAACTCCACACATTTGATCTATTATTATTATTATTATTATTATTATTATTATTATTACTTCTGCTACTTAAAGTTTCGTCTTCCCACTACCTGAAAACTCAGAAACCCTGGAGGATATACTTAGCATTTTTCAAAGCCCTCTAAGAACGCTGTGCACACATCCAGAGCTTAAATGCTTGTTGACTAAGTGAAAATGCTAATTCCTAAATCAAAGAAATACGGTGGCTGTTGAATTTTGGCTTAGATTCTAAACTGATGCATCCTGGAGCTATTGGATCTAAGAGTCAGCACTTAATGAAGTGTTTTAGCTTGCAGACTACAGGCCAATACAAGTTAGAAAGTAAGACTCGCTTTCTAATCTGCAAAAGAGCTTCCTGGAATTCTGACTCCAACCCAATTTACCTTGTCATTTTAAAACTGCCTTATAATTTCTGTTAGTATCCTTATTACTTCACTTAAAGAACAAGAGAACCAAATATTAAAAATATCTCAAGACTCATCTCAGTACATCTCCTGAGTTACCTTCTATATTCTTATTTCCCTCTGTGAGAGAAATAAGTAAATACTATCTATTCTTCAGAGTTAGAGAATTTGAGATTCAAAAAAGATGGATTTATCAAAGATTCTCTAATCCTGCCACATTGCTGAAACAGTATATTAAAGCCACTAATATCTGAATCATACTCTGAAGCATCATGACCTTATCAAATTATTTAGTCTTAACATTTTGCTTTGAATTGCATTAAGAGACCACTAACAGGCTTTCTCAAGAGCAGTCTGTGAACAGAGTGTACTGGGCTGTGACAGACACTCCAGGCCCCTGGCATAGTGGACGTTAGACGTGTGCATGTTTTCAGCAGACCCGGAGGTTCTCATAGCATTTCTGAGGTTAAGTAACACACTAGGTCACGTTATTTTCACCAAGTGGAACCTTAGGTTCCGTCTCATCCTGAAACAAACAAACGCTCTTAATGTTTATGCATTTTTCTGACAGACCCTCCATTTTTCAAGTTCTCACCCTTTTTTCAGTTTTCTCTTCCTTGATGGCTGGAGCCTGGCAGGACAATGAAGCCTGCTTCTCTTGAGCCTCACTTCATGTCAAGTCAGATCCATGTGCCAGAAATATTATGAAACAGTGTGGAAACCAGGAAAGGGGGGAAATACCCATTTCATCTATCATGTTGAAACATTAGAACATGCACTCTTATATTTGGCTCTAAACACTTCAGAAATCATATAAGTATACCCACTGCTTTTATGCTTTCCACTACGTTCCAGTTATCTTCATAGAACAAGTTGCAACTTTTATATGACTTGTGTCTCCACCCTACCTCTACCATTGCTTCCAATCTCAGAGAAGATTCTTATACTATGAGCCTTGGCTGCTTGGTGTGTGAAATGGAGCCTTGAACCAGAGGAGATAGAGGATGCCTTGCTCACCTCTGTCATTTCTTTGACATGTGTTAAACTGTTGTTTTCATCCCCATGTCCCAAATATCTAGAAGACCCCGAACTGTTGTTTGCACGGGCTCTCATTTTCTTAATTTCTCCCTATCTCCTTCTCCATTTCAAAGGCAATATTAAGGAGAGAGATGGGTTCTTACAGAGCAAAGATAAGAACAGATAATGACGCTGCAATGTTCAATTACCAGAAAATGTGGGACTGCTACCTTCACCGTGGCTGGTAATCCTCTTAGGCAGACTTTGCATACATCAAAGAGGGGCTTAATATTTAATTATCCTCGAGGTGCCCAAAGTAGTGGCCCCACAAATCAACGTGTTGCCAGGAAACCAGTCAGCTCCTGCAAAATTCAACACACAGTCTGTGTAGCCTGCTACCTCACTGCTTCTCAGAGAGACAGTGATTTTTACTTTTCTAATGATAGTTAACAAAATTAAAAATTCAGAGGCCCTCAATTTTCAACAGCATGAGAGGCCTTCCTTTCCACCCCAGAAATGTGCCCCAGCGTGGAGGGCAACAGGGAGGCAGAAGGAGGGGAGGGATAAGCTTAACAGGGGGAGGGGGAGAATGGACTGTGTTAATTCTCTTGGCACAATTTTTCTGAGTTTTTCAGGTTTTGTAATTTTCTAGTTAACTGGTGCATGAAAAATATGGGTCAAAATACTGATGTTTCCTTAAAAAATTCCATATCCCATCACCTCAATTTTTTTCTGGCTTTATGTAAAAAAAAAAATTCACCTAAAAAAAGAACATTGTAAAATTTCAGTCTGAATTTGTGGTTTTAAGTGATCAACAGAAAAATGAGTTTAAGACAATTTTCAACCTCATCACAAATTCATGTATACATGGAAGGACATATTAGTCCTTCTGGTCAGAGGCCAACTTGATGACGTTTCCCAAAACAAACAAAATACTCATTTTTTTGTCAGAGCTCAGACAAAGATCAATAGGAACGAAGAGTTATGTGTGCAGAAGTTTATTTAGTTCCTTACAAAAGATTTACTGTTACCTTAAATGTGTTCAAAGCTAGGACTCATTGTCATAAATAATTCTCTTAATCAAACATAGGATATGATTTGATGTTAAAAATATGTGTTCACATAAATGTATCTCTAAGAGGTGTGAAATCACAATCCTAGAACTAGAAGACATGTTTGAAAGCACCCCTGTTCAAGAAGCATATTTTATAGAGAAGGATGTCCAGAGATGAAGAAGTAACGTCCTCAGATTTTAGCATAAATGTCATTTCCAAAATGACTGCATCCAGTCACAACCTATTTTATGAGATGTTTTTTTCTTTTCTAATCACTTACCACTATCTGCTACCTTCCTCCTGCTTATCTGTCTGTCTATTATGTGATGTCTTTTTTCTTCCATTAGTATACAGATTCCATGAGAACAGGGAACCTATAGACAGTAAATATTTGTTGAACTAATGAATATTAAATCTTAAAAGCCGTGTCCAAGGTCACCTTTAAAGTGGCAAGGCTGCGACTCCTGACATTCAGTCCAGTATTCTTGCCATGAATGATGATTAGACCATGCTGCTGCACCCTTATATGCAAATAAAATGATCTGCTTGGAATAATGGAAGTGTTTCCTTGCAGAGTAGCCTGGTGCTTTTAGATTGAAACTATTTTGTATTAATTTGCCATATTTTGCTGACAGTGATTTCTGATCAGCCAGTTGCTTCTCATGTGGAAGCAAACAAATCCTAAGCATCTTTGTCCAGATATGAGTAAGACGTCAATGTGCCCTTTTCCCTAAAATGACTAAAGTTGAGCAAGCATCCGTATTACTGGGTTCTGCAGATGTTTGGAGACCTTGAGAAGGTCCCTCCTTACGAATAATGAGTTTTTCCTCTTAATTTCACCCTCTGGTCACTGGCATCCTTGGAGAAGAAGAAGAGACTGTGGAATGTCTCCTAAAGTGCACGTCACTGCATTTCAGCTTTAAAACGACCTTGCAAAGTAGTTACCATTTGCTCCGGTTTAGATGAAATCACGTGACTTAGAAGATGTGGTCACATGACCTAGCCAGCTTGTGAGCAACAGATCCTTGTGATCCAGAAGCCTGTGTACTACTCTTCTTCCTATCTGCCGGGGGGGATACACTGAGCAGTAACATTTGCGTTGTGTTTTGTTGTCACTGTGCTGTCCCTTTCTCTTCCCACCATCACTCTACGCGGATAGAATGTGATTAGGTGTGAAGAATCAGAAGTTTGTTCAGAGAACGCTTCATCTCTTTAGCGTTTTTCACTCTCTCAGTACACACCGCATTGTGTATGTTAACTGCTGCTAGCTAAAATTCTGAAAAATGCCATGACTGCTAATTATTTGTTTGAGCCAAACATCATGTGAAATATTCATCGGAGAGTCTCCAAACATAGATTGTGCACCATTCACTGTGCTACGCTCTGGAGATAGACAAAGCAAGTAGCATGAAAAGCATTTAGGCTTGTCTCCATGTAGACCTGCTTTCCAGTCCCAGCTTCATCACTCTGTAGCTCTGTGGCCTTGGGACAGTTACTGACCCTCTTACAACCTCAGTTTCCCTGTGTTAAATGGGAATAATAAATAAATGCTATGAGAGTTAAATGAATCATTCATGCAAAGCTCCTACTCCAGTCCAGGTAGATAGACCCTGTTGGTGTGAGAGCTCCAGTCCGGTACAGAGCATAGATTTGTAGACAAAGTTAATACCCTAAGTGCATGGGTGCTGTGATAAAAGTCTGCACAGTGCGTGGGGCTCGGGAGGGCAGGTCGCTGTCCTGTCTGAGGGCAGGAAGACTGCTCTAAGGAGAGGATTCTTGACCTGAACTCAGCACAGCTGGGTGTATGGTCTGGAGGCAGGAGGTGCGTACTCAGTGACTGCTTGGGTACAGAGGTGAGACACGAGCCCAGTGCCCCTCCAATTTCTGCTGAAGTTACCAGGGAGGAAGTGATGCTCTGTAATTAGCTGGGAAACACAGCAGAAATCCTGTGGATTATGGAGAACTTATGGAGAAAGACCCCAAGTTCAGGGCTATGTCAGTAGTATGTTTTA